TATAAATTAATTATTAAGAGAAAAATTGATCTGAAAATTTTATATAGTTATATACAACAACGCGTTAAAAAATTTGATATTTCAGAGGAAAAGTATTTAGTGCGCGTTATGTTCACGAAAGGTGTCGGTTAGATCCGCATACCTCTCCCGTGAACCTTGACTATTCTGTTTGCAACACCTCCCGGCGTTCCTACCTGTCTTTCTTTCCATCTTGTTACCTCCCTTTCTCCCCCACTTTGTCTATTTATCTCCTATTCATAGTTCAGATCTCTCGATGAATCTGCGCCTCGGCATACCAGTCGCTCTGCTTTCTTTCCCTGGTACAAGTTACTTTCCAGCCCGTGCCTTTGGATAGGATCTTCTTATTCCTCATCCTGTCAAAAGGAACAAGTACGCTCGCGATCGAATCGAGCCTCCGTAAGGAAAATGACGATACAGGGGAGGCAGGAATTTTCCGGGGAAAGGGAGGTCCACTGCGAGGGTCAGAAACCCTACGGGGTGGAGGAGGATTGGGTACCCGGAAGCCCGCGGGAAGGAAGAGGGGCATCTTATTTCTCCTAGAAAATTCTTAGCTATAACATAAATGAAAAATTATTAAAATTCCATAGATCTAAATTAAAAGGATTTTCTTTCTGTAAATAGCATCGAAGGCTGTGCAAGGCAATCGTCGAAATAATTTTCAACGATATTTAGATAATTTATGTAGGCAGGCCGTTTCCTGGAAAATCGCGCCGGTTCACCTTGTGTGGAATAACGATCGGTTACGATCGCCGCAAACGTACTTGACAAGAATGCAGTTTCACTGGCGGCGGGTTACCGTTTTTCCCTTGCCATCGACCGCGACCAATGGCGGTCTAAGATGTCGGCGAAAGGATTTCTATTTCCGTGGAATTACGTCGTACGGCTAGATCTATTGCAAACGGACGGTTTCGCATCAGAAATATTATTCGTATCAACTTGCTTTTCTTCCGAGAAGGATATTTCATCGCTCTCCTTCCACTCTGTTCCATTACGAGTCATTCCTATAATCTATTATCATCTTTTACTTTATTTATCAATATCCCCGCAGAGCCAGAGTAGGTTTCTCATATTTATATTAAGCTCCAAGATCAAAGACATCGTCCTTGGGGTTTCTTGCCTCTGCTCGACAAGAAGGCGAACTAGTTGGCTTTTTCTTTCTCGTAATCATCCTCTCGAAGGTTTCCCAAGCGTTTCACGAGTGCCGGGAAAAATTGATACTTAATAGTCCTAGCAATTTGTCAACGCGACCGCCGGGCCGGATGATAAATTGCACGGAGTCATCCTTTCTCACGGTCATCGGCTCAGGATCGACGGTGTAATGTATAAATCTTGAATGCTCCACGAAGAAACCACCTTATCGCATTCGGAGACACGAGTTCCCTCTTGTAGTTGACGAATCTCTGAGCAGACGGTCAAAACGGTCAGCTTAACCTTCCGTATTCCTATCGAGTCAAGTTCGTGATTAGATTCGTCGGATATCGCGACCTCGATGCATTCGTAGATTCCATCGTACATGCAGGATGACATTGATTAACTAGCCATCGTCGTTTCAGATTCTTCCCGCAGAATTCCACCTCGGGTACGATGCACCCGAAGGTCGATTTGTTTGTATTCTATTCGTAAAAGATGATAGGGATTTTCGGATATCTCTCTCGGCGGAGCCATTCTAATTTTATTGACCATGACCACACACGCCAGACTTTGCCTCTTGGCAAGTTCCAGATGGAAGGCCTGCCGGTACTTTGCTCGGTATGCCGAAGCTGTAGTATAACAGTCGTTTCATTGCTGGCGGCAGTGATTCATGGATTTTCAGAGCCCGTTCACCACGTTCTTTCACGTTCGACGATCTATGAATAGATCATGTCAAGCGGCATCGTGGCCTGCGTCTTCCTCCTGCCTTCGATCCGTCTACCATTCGCTCCGCCATCCTCCTTCCATTCGTTTCCTACTGTTTCACGGTAATCTCGGCTGCTATCGACAAGAGAGCGATAGCACGCGTTGCGATCGGGATGTATAGCGTCTGTTATGTCGATCGATTCGCCGGATTGCTCGGCGAACCGTTAAACCCTGAACGGCCATCGCGAACAGCCTGAAAAGAGTTCGAGACGGAGGAAAGTCCTCTCCCCCGCTATTATCTCGATTTTCCTTCGTACTTTTTGCATGCCCGCCCGCTGGTCACTGGAGTAAGCCGCGACAGGTCGTCGACTTGTGAATCGCAATTTGACGGACCATGGAGAGGATACTCCTCCAAAGGGAACGCGTTACGGGGATGCGTGTTCAAAGGGACCACGAGCGAGGTGGCAAACAAGGTTCGTGTGTACCTAGCTTGGTCTCTAGCATGGCCGTTCTAATTACCGGGAAAATCAGGAAGCGGAAGGTTAGTGGTACACTGGGATGAATCATTGGATCGATAGTCGATAACGAGTTTCGTCATGGATACATAGGTGCCACGTGGGTGGCAGGACGCGGACTCTAAACACGTGAAACGAGAGGCGTCAGTGTCTGGTGGTACCAGGCGAGTTGCAATACTGCGTCTCATTCCTCTTTGCTCGTTCAATCGGATGCGTCACAGGAAGCCGAACGCCTGACTGACTGGCCAGAGAGCGGCTCTCTGATGCTGCTAACCTATCGTACGATCAATTCGTTTTATTCTACTCGTTTATCGCGTTAGCCAATTGCCGTACTTGCCGTCTGCCACTCTAAGGGGTTCCAGGGAGTTTGCTTTGCTGCGAAGTACTCTTGCTCGTCTTGACCAACTTCTCACCGATAGAAAGTTTATTTACGTTAACGCGTTCGCTCGAGTGTCTTTTTTAAAGATTGCTGTTTAGTTAGTTCAAAGTTTTAGTCTCAATGGATTTTTTCCCTACTTGTCTCCAGATACCTCTCCCCTTCATTTTCTCGTACAACGAATAACTTACAAGTTATTTTAAGTCGTCACGTTAGGAGACTCGCCCTGCATTTACCAAGTTCTTTCGTCCAGTTACCGATTCAAGGTCACCGATTATCTGCCCCGCGGATACCGGGGCGGACGACTTTACGATCTCCGAGAAGCGTTTCGTATCGTCCGTCCGGTTTGCAGTGGTCGCGTAGGCGGACATTTTTATCGTGCCGAAGATTGGTATTTCTTTGCCGTTGCACGCGTCGTACGTGAAAGTAGCCGCGTACCGGATAGACGCACGCGAGCGCTCGCGGGCCCGTGGGCAGGAGCGGCGATCCGGTCGCGGAGATACGCCCAGGCGGAAGGACGCCAGGAATTCATAGACAATGACTTTTCTCCCACTCTGTTTCTGCAACACCGTCTGCTCGTCATTCTCCGCGTCGTCCGGCCTGCTGCGCTTCCGGGTCGAACCAGACACCGCCGCGCGCTGGCCGTTTCCTGTCTGCGACTAAAATGGCGGGAAAATGAATCGGCACCGAGGAGGTCGGAGATTAGATCGACCTCCATCCCTGACGAGAAATCGATTATAGATGATGTTGATAAGAGAACAATCGGAGAACGTTCGTTGCTCGGTTCGAGCCGACACGAATTTTTCTACTTCTTATAAATCAATGTTACGCCAGAGTTATCGGCGAGAACTTAACGATTCATGACCGCTCGTGATGCATCGCGATTTCCATAAAACCTCCTTCGGTATATTCAAATTTCCATCCGAGCAAATTAATGCAAACCGGTTTAAAAATCGAACTAGCCAATAACATATATTTAACCCTCCGACGGCGGACCATAGAGAGAAACCCAATTTGTACTCCATATTATTTTTATTTTTTAAATTTTACTGGCGGCAACTAAAAATGGCTATTCATTTGAAGTCCTCCAAGACGCCATCGCTCAGAGTTATTTTAACTAGAATAAAAATTGTGATAAAAAAATAAGGGCGAGATAATTTATAGAAAAAAAGGTGGAGGGTTGTCGGTGGGATAAAGGAGCGCATATGTCTGGCACGTTTTCGTGCGAGGAAAGAGAATGAGGAAGAGCCGGCGCGGGCGGCGCAGATCCGGGAAGACGGGAAGCCGGTGGGGTCCACATAGCTGGGCGCACGGCTTGCTCTGCGCGGAAGCAGCAGCTGACGCGTCGCGTGACGTCACGGTTTGCGTGGGTCGGCGTCCCGACGGCGGACGTCGCTCGATATCACACTCGCCCGGGCGACGCTCCTTTTTACTACGCGCACCTCCCTCCTCTTCCTCTTCCTCGTACTCTTACGCTACTCTCATTCTCTTTTCGTTTCCGTTCTCCCCTTCCACCTCCTGTATTCCTCATCGGCATTCTTTTTCCATCTTTCTCCTTTCTACGCAGATCCAACCGGGTTCTTTCTCATTTTGCTCTTTCATTGTTTCTATTATTATTTCGTTTATCGCGTCTCATTCTATATCCCAACGAGCCTCCGCTTGTTCGTTTCCCTCTTCGGCATCGTTTTTCTCCTCGCATACTCGTCATTCTTCGCAATTTTTTCTCTTCTCTCTCTCTCTCCTCGAATCTTTTCATTTTACCCATCCCTCCTCCGACTTTCCTTTTTTTTTTTCCTCTTATTATCCTCGTTCTCGGTGCACCCACCCTTATCCACCGGTCATCCCTCTTCTAATCGTCGCCTCAGACTCTCTGCTCCGTTGCTGCAGTAGCAGAGAGCAGGGCGTTACGTCACGCCCGTTACCCTCGCCCATCTCGCGTCGGTTGCACCACCGCTGCAACTCAGCCTGGCAAGCACCAAAACCAAATAACCCCCCTTCTTGTGGTCCCTGCACGTATTACAGGGCTCGCATCAACTAGCCTGCGGCAAGTTCGTTGCCTCCTCCGTGTTCAACCCCTGCACACCTTCCCGCCAAACACCACCTTTTCCCTGCGTATTATCTCCTTGTACCGGCTGCATTTTATTCTCACGCACTTTCTCCTGCTTTTCTGGGTTATCCTGAGAAAATGTGCATAAATTTCGACCCTCTGTTTCTAACAATATATCTAACAAAAATCTTCTTTTCTGTTTCAGGTACGTTGAAACTCCCCTGAAAGTTTGAATTCAAGCTCGGCCTGAACGGTAAGAGACAATTCTGTTGAATCGAGTTCAGGATAACTAAAATATATCGATTCAAGTTTGCGCGTAATGTTACGCCTTTGTTCGATGCTCGTTCGTTCCCGAGCCTTTTGCGAGTGGCCCATTGACGGCTCGGCACAGTTTCAAGGATCGACGACGAATCGAAGGTACAGCCTTATCGGGAGAGGTGGGGAAACAACGGGAGGACTGATACGTGTGTACCGTGTGTGAAACCAGGTCGGGTTATAGGGCGAACAGTTTATTGGAGATGACTGCGATTGCCGAGAAGTCGGTCCATTTCATTGTAAGCTGTTTAAATGGACATTTTTGAAAAGTTCCTTGTAATAGGTTTAAACCGTGGGTAATTATCGCAGGGATAAGAAAACGTTGGTCAAACGTTTAGCTGCAGTCGTCCGTACGGTATATTCTAACGTACTCGGACAGCAGAATTAAAGTAACTGGCTTTAAATGCAGAGCCCCAATTTTAATTCAATATTTTTATAATTTGACGCTGATCTTTTAAAAAGTATTCTTTTAATGTATGAAATTATCGTTTAAAAATGACGTATTTAGCTTTTGGATATTGGTTAGGTCCATAATTAACCATCAACAACGATATCGAAGTAAATTCCAAAGTTGATAGTTGAAATCGGGGAGTGGTGGGCGCGGCGCGGCGCGGCGCGGAGAAGCGATATCGCGCGGCGTGCGTTCGAGTTCGGGGATATTCGGCTCGACTCGGCTCCGTTCGATTCGATTCGGTTCATTTCAGTCAGCTGGCTGACAGGGCGTTGCCCCGCGTGCGATGCACCATTCATTACGGAGTGCTGCAACCAGAGAGCCGACCTAGCGCGACCAGACCGAGCCTGCACTCTCTCCTCCTCTCCCTCCCCCTCGTCCCCTTCTCGCACTTCCACCGCCCTCTCGAGCCCTCCCTCCAGCCTCGCTCGATTCTGTTTCGGCTGCAACTGTGGCTTGCGACCGACCACCTACTCTACTACTACTACTACTCGCGTACTACTACCGCGCGTACAATACTGATACTACTACTACTATTACTATTACTACTACGTCGTACGATACTTTTGTCATCGCGAACCACCACCGCGCCATCCTCGTTACTCTCGAAGCCGTACCTAATATTTGCCAGAGTATTCTGTCGCTGCTTTTAATGGTTCCGTTACAATTACTACCTGAACTTCGCCAACAGCAACCGAGAAAGAAAAATGGGAACGTTTCTGCCCCCTCCCCCTTTTGCCCCGACCACCGCCCCCTCCCTCCACGGCGCGGCACAGTGATCCGCCATCTTCTCTCCCTGATTATCGACGGAGCCTGTGTCTACGCTCGCGATGAATGACGCCACCGGTTTTTCAGATTCGCTCCGTCTCGCATTGACAGATCTTTTGGATCGCGCCGGTGGGAATAGCGGGCGGGAGTGGGAGGAGGGATGCGGTAGCGTACATCTGCTCGAGAGTGCATTGCGGGAAGCTTTTCAATGAGCGGCTGTACCCGAGACTATACCAACCATCGCGACGTCTGCATGCGAAGCGTTTTCTCCGCGTCGAGTTCGGCTAATGAGAAAGTCTCGCGTGCTCCAATTGCATTGATTTGAAGTACGGCCGGGTAAATCGACCCCTTCCCAACTTCTCTCATCCTGATTGACGTGAATTTTATATTTTTTTACACGTCTTATACGCGTACTTTGCTCGATCTCCGTTTTCATTCCAATTAAAAATGTTAATTTATGTTAACATCTGATAATTATAATCAAATACCAATTTGAATATGAATGTGACTTATTTTCAAATTCTATTAATAGTAATTTTTATTCAAATCAAATATACTTAAGTTTTTTTATTTATTTAAGTTTAGAAGGTTTAAAAGAAAATAAAACAACGTATGTTGTTCCCTATATGCTCTATTAATCATTATTTCTTTTTACAATAATATGGAGTTTATTCATGCAATTATTCATGCTGGTGCGTAATTACGTAGATGACCGATAGGATAATTCTAGAAAATGAACAAAACCACCGTATGTACAGTGGCGTGCATAGATTCCTTTAGGGAAGCATGGGGCGAGTGCTTCCCGCGCTTCCCCTCTACCTTGTAAGAAATCCTTGCACGCGAGTGTACGTAGTGGTTTCGCAGGTTTTATTGCAATTTGTTTATAATTACGGCTCGATAGTAGTACATACTCGTCGACTCTCACGCCTGGTCGACGTAGCTGGCAGTGGGTCAAACGCATACGCTGCGATGAAACGTGGCATAGCGATGTTTTAATGATCGTCAATCATCGTGATTATTGGTACGATCGTAGCTACGGTGTGCCAAGAATGCTTTCGCGGTGATTCGATGACACGCCTTTGCCGGTGCCTTTTGTTAGCCGAGTCAGGTAAACAATTATCTATAATTTAGTTGAATAGGAACAAATTACAGAAAAAGAAATTCGAAAAATTCTTTCCAATTCTAATATGGTTTATTTAATATGGTAATTTAGTTAAATAGAAATGAATTTAAATTATAATAAAAAATGACACAGGTCTCTTTAGCCAAATAAAAAAAAAATTAATTACAGACAATTAATAATAAATTTTCAATTTTAGAAATTCATTTGAAAGGAAATTTGTAGTTTCAGTTCGTTTCATTTTATTTGTTATCTGTTGATGAAAAAAAAGTTGGTACACCGAAGCCTATTAAATTGAACGATAACTCCTTTCAGCCTGAAAAGGGGAGCAAATAAAAGAGACAGGGTAGAACAGAAGCTATATAGTGAAAGAAGAGGTGACGTTTCAGATATGAGTTTCGCGGTGAACCACAGTCGGCGGTTGGCGAGGTCAGTAGCGTTTTCTGCAGCTACGATCCCGTCTCAACAGAAACTCCGCGTTAAAAATAACTTTTCACCGGCCGATAATAGAACGCGCGGTCCCACGGAGAGAAACCGCGCGCCGTGTGTGTCTCTCGTATCCGTTTGCCCGCTGAAAGGAATCGTGTGTGCGAGTGCAACCGCACGTAGCCTCTCCCCGTTGCACCGTTGCACATTGCTGCAACCAGACGCTTCTGTCGTTGCAACTCGCGCCGTTTGTTGCATTATGCGCCACTAGAGCGCGGCACATTGTGGCACCAGCAATTTCTTTCTTTCCTTTTTATTTTTTCTAACACGTTGCGAAGAAAAATCTGACAAGTGTTTTCACGGTTCGTTTCACCGCGATAGGTTTATTGTTCTCTTCTGGGAATATTACAAAGCGCATTATTCGAGAAATGAAATTTCATAAGGAACTGCAGTCCATCAATCTAATAGGTACTTTCTCCTCTCTCTCTTCTCTCTGTTTGTCGTGTTAGAATTTTTGCAATTTTTTCTTTCGATTACCTTACCATGTAAATTTAAAATTCTTACCTTTCGTGTAATTATTAAGTAAAATGGTGGAATCTTTTTAGGTGATGTTAGGAAGTGTCTGAATTTTATCAGGAAACGATCTCTTTTCCCGTAAACTACTACGTAAACGTTTTAAAGACGCAAAGGGATGAAAGTAGAAGAAAAAGGGTAGGGGTAACATAGAAGGTGATGGCACGAAGGTGGCGATGGAATGACAAGTAGCGGTTGAATCTTTAATCTCTCCCTACGTGGGATATTAAAGTTTCTCAAGAGTTTGGCAACTACTTGAAATACCATAGTGAAATGGAGTTTAAGTTTCGACTGTAACCCAGACAGGGGCACGAAAGTGGCAATATCGATGGATATCGATCGGCATCTCTGAAGGAATTTCTTTCTTCATCAACTACGATCTTCTTCCTCGAATTATTCCCTTATCGGTCCACACCCTATTGAGGGAACTTGTCCTTTCTATTCTTACCATATTTCTTTTCCATTTAAACCTTGAAGATTCATTCTCTAGGAAATGCTTTGTCGATAAAATATAGTAGACAATAAAATAAGTTGAAAATTCTTTGCATTAAAAGCGGCGGGTCCCAGAAATCTGAATCCGCTGTTGGATTTCAAGTCGCAACTTTGAAAGGTCCGTTTCGATCGATCTGCTTCGATGCTAATGTCTCTCCTCCCCTTTGTTGTCATAGAGAGGACATTCGCTACGCTGCAACTTAAAGTTCATTATTCGCGAAGGGGGATTCAATGAAAACGCTCACGCGCTCACGTACGCGATCGCATGGGAATGAGAAAATATGCAGAGCGGCTTCGATCGCATAGTTAATGCGACACGCGTACACATGCAGAGGTAGATAGTTAGAAACGTATTCTCTTCGAGCCGGCGTTTTGAGCCGTACCAGACAGACACCGTTAAACCTGTCATTTGAAGTCTTATCGTTAACATACCGCCTGAATTATTCAAAGATTTTTCACGAATACTTTAAACAAATCGCGGTTGTACAAAATGAAATACTTCCAAAAATAACGAGAGATTTTCTGAAAGAATTTAATCGATCAATCGACGAATTAAAATACGCCGATCAATTATCTGTATTTTCATTTTTTTTTTTAAATAGCAAAGAATAGGAAAAATAGAAAAAATATGCAAATCCTGAAATATCTCGCAAAATTACTAATTTATTGCCTGTTGAAATTATACTTTTGAAAAATAAATTCCGACGCCAATGTCGGTGCATAATTTTCAAGGTGCACGCGGAGAACACCATGGAGCGAGAGATGGGCGACGAAGGGCGTCGAGCCCCCATACGCGACGATAATTTCCATCGTGGAATGACGACCGCTTCATGGTCACGGAATGCAAACAAACCATGTCCGACGAGGACCTTTTTCTTCTTTTTTTTTTTTTCGTTATCCTCTTTCGCGCCTTCTCTTGTACCGGCGTACAAGCTGGCGCGTGTGCACCACCTTCAGGCTCGATTCACACGCGCCTACTACGAGGAAATCTTTTTGTTCCTGAGAACGTGTCCCCTGGATCAAGTTCACCGCTTTGTGCCACGCTTCCGGTCTACTTTTTTCAACGCCTGCGCGTTCAAACGGCTTCCAAATAATTTTCACCTAAAA